GGTGTTCTCACGAATTAAAGGTTTTTTCATGCAATAGGTTAGGATTAACTCCCACCAAATGAGGTGATATAGGATTCTTAATGTAATGACAATAAACTTATATTTAATAAATATCTCGCATTTAATGCTTGTTTGCAGCAAAAATAATAATAATAATAATAATAATAATAAATATAGAAGCAATTTATAATATTGTTTATATTATACATGTGTTTATATTTAATTCAGACATTTTTCAAAAACTGTATTATGTTTATATTACTAAGTAATAATTAATAAGTAATTGGGAATCATATTTAATTTGAAATTATATTGTTGATCAAATTTTTTTTTATAGTAATAAGAAAACATATATAGTTTATATAATATCTTGTTTTGATAAAAAAAAATTAAATATTTAATTAATAAATTTATTTTTTAATAAAATTTTTAATTTTTTTTAAAGAATTTCATAGTACTATATAATACTTATAAAATCTCAAAAAAATATTAAATATTATAAAATTCAAAAAATAATAATAATTTTCAAAGTGTTTTAAATATTACATATAATTAAAAAAGAATAAAACTTCAAAAATATTCAAAGTTATTCAAAAATTTATACAAAATTAATTGATTTATACTATAATACTTAAGAAAAAATGTGTGAAACAAAATTTTACTCTAATTTAATTGAACCAAAAAACCTCTGAAGTAACATAAAATTCAAAATCTATTTGCGATGCCTACTAATGTAACATTTGATTATATGTTAAATAATTTAGAACAATATAAAAATTTGATTGTTATATTAAAGAGACCCTATTTGAAATAAAAATATTTTTTTATTAAGTATTTAAATAAATTATTATAAAATATTAAAGATCAATATCTTATTTAATAATATTTTGGAAATCTTTGAATTATTTCATTATTAATTTTTCTGAAGTTTTTCAAAGATCTTTGAAATATTATTTTGGAAATTTTCAAAAATTTTTTTGAAAATAAAGATCTCTGGAGTTTTTTCATAAAAAATCTTCCTGATGATTATCTCAATAAACTTAAAACCCAAGTCTCTCATGGTTTCCCACTTCTTACCACCTGTGGCCAGTCAAACTGTTTAATTTCCATTGAAGTAGTTGATGTCCAAGAATATTTAAAAGTACTTCCAAGAGAGTATTTCTTGAAAACTTTTAATCAGAAAGGATGTTGGTTTTCTATTATTGATTTCTCTTTCAAACTATGTCTTTTGAAATTATTGCTTCATTCAACTGGTAAATAGTTTCAAGATTTCTTTCTTCAACTATTTTTGGGATAAATATTGGTATTTTAACTTGTTGTTACTTTCTGTTTTCAAGAAAAAATAGAAACCAAAAAAAATAAATAAAAGAATGAAAACAAAAAGAGATTGCTTCTCTTCTACTCACAACTTCTATTTCACCCAATACTTCCATACTACTTCTTCAATCAAAAACTGCTCAACTCTTTTAGGAGCCAATCACATTATCAGTTTGGTGTTGTGTGACTGGAAACATGTGAGGAGTATATGTCTTGTTTACTTTTTCTAAAGCTGATGTGATCAACCAATCTATGACCTTGACTAATTATCTTTCAGGAGATCCAATGTAACCAAAATTTAGGGTCAAACTAAGATAAGCAAAATTCTTTAGAAAAATAAAAAAAAAAGGAAGCACACTTGAGAAAAAAGAAGAAAGCCAAAGAGATAATGGAAAGATTGGAGATTTCTTTGTTCTTATTTCTCTGGATTCTTGAATCTTTTAGAAGTCTTTGGAGGGTATTTTTTCTTGTTAGTTTTCTTTTTAGAAAAGTGTTCTTGCCATAGACCTTTTAAGTAAGTTTCTTGTATTTAGTTGTCAAAATAAACAAGAAAAGTATTTTGAAAAAAAAAAATAAAACAAGTGATAACTTCTGCTTACTTTGCTAATTAAAAAACCAGTATTGTTAAGAAAAGTGTATAGACTTTATTATCATAAAGACAAAAGGTCTTTTGAAAATGTCTATTTTTTGGATTGGCAAAAGGATCAGCAGAAAGAGTTTTAATAATGCCATAAATATTATTTTTTTATTTGATATTGTATATAATAAAGTATATATTGTGAAAGAAATAACATCTCTTCTATTATTTCAGGAAAGTTTAATACTAGCTTACCTATTTAGTCATTACTTAACTAATATTGTAAAATATTTTAAAAGTAATATTATAGTGCTAGATAAAGCTGAGTAGTAGTTATGTCTATTAACTTAGGAAATTTTGTGAAATCTTTTAATTTTTTGAATATATAATAGTTAAAAAGAAAATAAATATAATTGTAATTAAAACTGCATTAAATAAACTATAAAATCTATAAGTAGAAAATCAATTATTTCTTCAAAAAAGTCTCTGGACAGGCTTATGGCTTCATCTTTCCAGCTTTTTGGTTACTATAGATAATGAAGTATATATAAAGTTGTTTGTTGTTATAATTGTTAGTAGACATATAATTGATATTGTTAGTATGATTGTTGTTATAATTGTTGTTGTGATATAAAACTAGTTTGAATAGATTTAGTTTTTGTTTTTATTTTTAAGCAAAATATAATTGGATAATTGAAAAGTGTTGATTATCTGTAAGGAGTAAACTGATTTCAGTTTTTTGATCAAAAAAAATATTAATAAATTTGAAATAATATAGTAAATATCATTATGGTAAAGTAAAATTTATAAGTTAACTTGAAACAAATAGTAGACTCACCAACTCTATTTAAGAAAAGTATTTGTTTTAGTGAATATAGTAATAATGATATGGATGGTTTTTATAATAGAATAAGAGTAAGGAGAAATGCAAAAGAACAAAAGAATAGAAAACTGTCACAGACCTTTCTTTATGCAACTAAAGAATAAGCAAGATTCTCAAACTTGAATAGATTTTGACTAGAGATTCCATCCTACTACATCAATTGTCTTGAAGATTTTTGAGTTCTTAAGCTGAGGTTCACTTGTAATAAAAAGTGTAAAACATTTTTTCTTGTTTAAAATTATTATAAAAAAATTTTTTTAACAAAATAGATATAATCAGGAAAGAGCTTTTTATAAAATTTATTAATTTAAAATTATTAATATACTGTATAATTTGATATAATTTTATTATGGATTGTATATTTTGTTTTTTCTTTTTTAATAAAAAATGTTTATTTATCCAAATAAAAAAATTGATATTTTTTAAATTCAATATATATATATCTATTATATATATATATTGTTTTTAGAAAGATATAATAAAAAAAATTTTTTTAATTTTTTTTAAACAAAAATAAATAAATATACAGTATATGTAATTTAAAGTATTATATTAACAATTATTTGAAAAATATTTAAATAATATTTTTTTTTTAAAGTATATTAAAATAAATATTCAAAAATGATATATTATATTTATTTCAAATTATTTTGACATAAAAGAATTATTCAGTATATTGTAATTTTACCAATTACTATTTGATTTTTTTTTTTACAAAATAATAAGAATTTTGAAAATTTTCTTTTTAACTTAATTGAATTAATAATAAATAGAAGAAATCAGTATATTTTGTTTATTTATCAAAAAAATAGATATGTAATTTATTGTTAAAATTTAAATTTAAAAGTCAGATTTTTTTTTTGATTTTAAATAATTTATGATCATTGAAATTTTAAAAATTCAAAAAAACATTCAAACCATTTTATAAATAAAAAATCAATGGATAATATTGCATGCACGAAATTTATTTTTGAGACAAACTATACAAAGCGATCAATCATGTCCACAATACTGATTCCTTTGCTTTCAAGTTGAGTTCACCAAAAGTGCCCAGTCTGTGGTAAATCAATTATTTGTTTTAGCAAGGAGCGAAAACATAATCATAAATGGTGTTTTTTTATGCTATGCCGATAAGAATATCTTGCTAATTAAAAAAAAAAAATAGTAAGGAGTTGTGAGGAAAACTATTTCGATTGAATTATGGGATGCTCAACAATGTACGTCCACATGTGATTTACATACGCAGTAAATCCCGAGAAAGTGACTGCGTGCATCTATCAATATGAATCTGTCGAATACAGTATCATGAACATAAATATCAATTTGCGCACTTTAATAAAAAAGAAATCATCCAGCCCGGTTAGTTTAGTTGGTAGAACGCCACATCATTTCTCAACCACTATTACGAGTATTACAATCGTGGAGACGGGGGTTCGATTCCTTCACTGGGCCTCATTATTTTTTTATTGTTATATTGAGTGCAATGTTGCCAAAATAGGAAATTTTTTAAGGAAAACAAGTAGGCGCAGACAAAAATTCTTCTTTTGGTAACGATCAATCGGTCGATAATTATATTAGTGTCATACTTACGCGTGCATGTGAAATAGTAAACCGGGGGGATTCCCGTTAGAAAACATACTATATTACATTTCGAATGGAAAAAAAGAATCAGCTTCATTGTTTCGTTCACCAATTTTGGAAGTATTGCGTCATAAACATGTCACTTGAGTTTCACATGATGATGAAAAATTCTCTTACAGGTATCAATTTCCACTTGACAACATTGCAGTATTCTATCCAATATTTTCCATATTTTCCACGACATCTGGCATCATCGCGGTAAATACGATGCACCAGAAGGATGGTCATGTAGATGATATAGAAGTAGGGCAGCAGGTGGTTAAATCCGCATGCAAGACACATCGCCAATGAAATAAGCAAGTCTCCGACGTAATTAAAATGTCGCGATATTCCTATGATGGCGGAATTATAGGATCACGTGAGTTTAAAGTAGAATGACAAGAGACGTCAAATAGTCAAACCAACGTTTACCCCAATAGCCACTGGTCAACAAAATACTTGAATGGTCCTTTCCATCGCTCGTGATAAAATGAGTTTTTATAAAACGAGCTGGCTTTCCCCAAATCAGGCATTTCCCATCTGTCCGGCGAACAATATCTTTCTGATAGTTGACAGCCCGGAAGATGTAGTATCCTGACAGGCCAATCGTTAGAACAAACAAAAAGTAGGGGATGGAAAGATCGATAGGATTGCGAAGCAAATAATGGGATTGAATTGTATACTACAAAAGCAGATAATGACAACATTGTTAACAAACGAATGAATGAAATTTCAACATTTCTTTTTCTAAAAAAGAATAATAATAACCATCCATGGAAGCCAGACAGTATCTCCCCACGCCAAATAGAATCCAAAGTGATCGTGTGCAATGTCTGAGTATGGATGAGAACAATGGTAACGTTATTCTGACGTTCCACGACGTGAATAACAATTATTATATTACCAATGGTTCGGAGATACCAATCTTCATTATAAAAGAAATCAAGGACATAAACAGCGTGCAAAAAGTTCAATAAGATCATCGAATTTGTCACATAACCTATTTCGGACATACGCAATTAGTCTCTTATGACGATTTTTATGTACTGTTAATGAATGAATGGATTATATGTAATACGCACCGATTTGATTGTACAGAGCAGCAGCGAATGAAAAGTTGATCAATGTCCACGCAATAATTCCCGGTCTTCCGTTGTGAAAAAGTTTAAAATCCCAATATTTGCCGAAACGAGGATTCATCTCAATGCCCATGAGCAAGTTATAGATGAAGCTACCCGAGAACTTTCGATCTTCCGGATGCGAAGGAAAAACATAAGCCTTTGCGAATACAAAGAAGGTCAGGAAATAACCGTAAATGTTGGCGGCCACAAAAAGTGCATCCCAGTGGTCATGGATAACGGAAGCATTCCACCAATTAAAGTAAAACGCGCCGACAAGAAAGAGAGTATGAGTGACAAACCACGCCAGGAGACCATTTACCTTAGATGATGAAAATGATAATAATTGAGAGTTAAGTTGAGAGTCGAAATTATAATATATAATAAGATTACCTTGTAAGGAAGAACGTGTCCGGCTGGGGTCCTCTGACCATATCCAATCTTGGCTGGTAGGACAGCATAAAGCACAGCTTGAAAGCCCAACCAAAGAGCATACATTTTAAGACCATCCCATGTGAAACTTGGAAGTTTTTGCAATATGACCAAATAATAGGATTCCAATGAAAAAAACCCGTGAACACTCAGAAGGTACAAGGGCTTTTCAAGGGAACACTGATAGTGAGTACAAGTAATTAAAAATAGAACCACCATCAGAGGGCAACCCAGAAGAATGAGGGTCGATAATAATACGGTGGTATACGAAACATCTTTTACAAAATTGGATATTTATCAATTACGGCGAACCTTGAGAAATTCTATTCTGACGGATTACAATTAATTATAATAAGATACCTCTATCACGTCCCCAAGTCTTTCCGATCTGAGCTTTTAAAACTTTCCCACCAGGGGGGGTATCTTTAGCGGTGCTTCTTTGTCTCGGAGACATTTCGATGGAAATTTTTGAAAGGATCCAAATAAATCAACGATTCCCCTGATTTATACTATCCAAACCACCCGGCCAATGTCGATCTTTCACAAGATACCCGACGAAGGATTTTTTCCTCGAGGTGGCCGGCAAAATATTCGAAATGATTGCGTGCATTCGGATCTAACATTAAACGTTAATGGCGTTCTTTTTAAAGAAAAGCGATCATGCATGCATATATTAAATATTTGGTGAAACATACCTGAATTCTCATATTCTTACATGTACGTACGGTGCGTAATATGCGTTAGAAGGTAGGTGATACCCTAAATGTAGTCGAAGTAAATTGTTAAAAAAATTTCAAAAATCAAAAAACCGGATTTTTGTTTACATGCTCCTTGGGGTTGTATAACCCAAATTACGTATATATTTGTTATAAAAAGTGTATGAGTATTTTTAAATACGTATCACGCATCGCGATTGCCTAGTGTCATTGCTCCTTTCATTTTTTTTCGTATTCACATATTCATATAGCCCTTTTCGGATTCTTTACCCCTTGATCGTAACCTCCTAATCTGGTCATCATGTCGATACGTAATAGACCAGTTCAAAAAAAGCATCCAACTACAAATTCATTTTTAATTCACCTGATATAAATGGAAGCCCTTTCCACCTTTGAGCAATAAAAAGGTGCCTGATGGACTTTTTCACGACTTCCCAATAATAACGACCATCATATATGCTTGCTTGCTGAAGGTGTTCTATAATTCTCAGGAAAAGATTGTCCTTTTCTTTGCACCTCAATTGTACGACCATTACTCGAACTTTGACAAACTCGGTTGAGAAAACTTTCTAACAAGAATTCTCGTTAAAGTTTATTTCCTTGACGAAAAGAAAACAGCAAAAATGTGGTGCGATAATTGCTTGTTGTTGTTTCCGTTAAGAAGCGGTGCCATGGTCCTGAGTGTTATTATGATGGTAATAAGCATGTTTCTAATGGGATTTGAGATAAGGCTCGTGCAAATGCTAAATGCTTCATTCGCTTGATAACAGATATACCAAATAGGCGGCGGTATATTTTTGTTTCTATACGGAGGTATGAAAAATCATGTTCGAGTTAAATTAATGGTTGTACCCTGATAACATAAATATCTTTTTTCGCATGTACACACAGACTTTTTCTTCTTCCACTACATGGAGCCAAAAATATATGGCGCATATGCCATGATACAGGCATTTATGTCACTCATAGCCACGATCGGTTTCTCAATCGTAAATATATTCTACGAACCTTTCACTACTCCACGCCTGACAACTTCTGACAACTTCTGACAATAAATTACTTTTTGAAACTCAGATATCATTCACAATCGCCAGCTCCCTCGTTTGTTTTTACCCGTTCCTGGTAATATTGGGAGCCGTTCGGGCTGGAATTATGTCTTGGTCATTGGTATACTATAAGGAGAGAATCATATGGGAATGTGATAATGGCGGTACGAAATGGGTGGATCCTTCAACCATTACGACCACCACCGACACCACCAGTGACCCTACCCTGATGCCTCCCGTTGTTTGCAGAACTGGTGTGGATAATTTCAACGCGTTAATTACAACCGGTCTTTGCATTGACTTTATCTTGATGGTAGGTGACAATTACCCAAATGTCAAATCATCAATCCTTTGGAGAAATAATTTTCTTTTCTTTTCTTTTCTTTTTTTTCTTTAGTGCTATTTCTACTTCTTACTGTGGCGATTCCGAGTAAAAATGGCAAAAGGACAATACTATGGAAATATTTCCTTTGGATATGAATGAAACCATCTTTAACTTATTCTTTTCCTTCCCT